TGATATGTTATTATAGTATCTATGTTTTAAAGGCTTTTTCCCCCATTTTTTGTTTTTGGGAATAGAACTCAGGGTCTCAAGCATTTTAACCATGTGCTGTACCTCTGAGCTACACCCTCAGTCCTGCTTTAAATTTTTAATGACATTAAACTGGATGATCTATGAAGATGGACTATAGTTTCATTCTATCAAGCCTATAGAATAAAGTCGACAGACTGTAGGCTTCTAGAAAAAAAAAATGTAATATTTAAAGGAGGCAGATTCCAAACCAGCCAGAGTTCAAGCCCTGTCACTGTGTGGCCTTGGGTAGGTTGCTTAATCTCCCTAGGGTTCCTTTATCTCAAAGTGAGGAAAATAAAGGTGCCTCTGTCCTCCATTATGTAAGGATTAGGGAGATCCTGCATTGGAAAGCTCCCCAGTGTGTGGAAGGAACTAAAAAAAAAAAAAAAAAAAAAAAAAAGCTTGCTATTATCACTGCTATAATTATGCCCTGATTGGTATTATTATTACTCTACAACCTGGCCCTGCCTGCCTCTCAACATTATTCCCTGTCACCTCTCATCCTATGCAAGCCCCTGCTAAGCTGAGCGATTCACTGCCCCCTGTATAACTCAAATATTCTTTGCCTTTGAAATCATCCCTTGGCTGTTTATAGGCTGAGTAACCACTTGGAGGGGATGTTGCCGAGGCGAACTCCAGCCACAGAAAGGAAACTGGCTCTGAGATTCCATCAGATCAATAACAGGAACAGGACAATTGCAGCACCACATTCAACATTTGACCGGGTGTTCTTGGACTCTTCTTGGCTTCCCCGTTATCTCCAGTCATTTTTTTCACACTCACAGGGGAGCCCTTTGTTCCAGGGTACTGAGAACAACGTGGAGCTGACATGGTGGTAATCCTGGAGAAAGACATATTTCAGCTAACCAGAAGGCAGAGATGGGTCTCAGTGGAAGGGATGGAGACTTGTAAAATAGAACTGGAGTTTGATCTAGAGCGAGTCACTTAAATTCTCTGAGCCTCAGTTTCTTTAGCAATAAAATCAGATTAGTACAGTGTGCGGGATGAGAATTGACTGAGACATTGTATAAAAGGGCTTAGCCCAGGTACAAATCTAGCCAGTGCGCTAAATATCCTTTTCCTCCTTTCTTCTTTCCATTCCCTGTTATTAACGGGGACTCGGGCTGTGTTTTTAAGGGGATTTAGATTCCAGCTGGTGGAAGGAGGCTGTGTTGTAAAGGAGACCAGAAAGAACAGATGGAGACTGCAGGGCTCCCAGGGAAATGTGGCTGTGGGCAGGTGGGGGAAGACTTAGGAGGCCTTGAACCCAGACAAAGGGACCTGGGCTTGATAATTCAGAGTTAGGACATTTGCTGTTGTCCCCATGTGTTTCCATTCCTCTTCTTCTTCTTTCTCCTCTTGTTCTGGTAAGTGCTGTGCATGAAATGAAATAGGTAAAAAATAACAGAAATCATTTTCATGAATGCTGACTTTAATGGCTATTTCCCTATAGTTGAAAATAGCTCCAACTCTGGCCTCAGTCCTCCCTGGAAAGCAAAATAAAACAGTGTCTCCTAACCCTTCTTCCTGATTCCAGGGGACACTGGCTTGAAGGTGGGGCCACCCTTCCATGTGGGTTCTGTTGCACATTTTTCATAGGGCGCTGAGGCCCTGAGCCCAGGAAGGCAGGGCAATTGCCACATGGACTCTTGTTCGTCTTTCCCTGTATCTTTCCCTGATGAGCCCTGCAGTCAGAGCACATTGTGCAACCTGAAGTCACCAAGTACCTTTGTTAGGCAATTCTTTTTTTTTTTTTTTTTTGTATTTTGGAGACAGGATCTCACTGAGTTGCTTAGCTCCTTGCTTTTGCTGAGACTGGCTTGGAACTCATGATCCTCCTGTCTCAGCCTCCCAAGCTGCTGGGATTACCGGTGTGTGCCAAAAAGCCTAGTTAGTAGGCAATTCTTTTGCCTCTCTCTGTCTCTGTCTTTCAAATAAGGATTTAAAACTCCCACCCAAGGTTATGGCCAGCACATCCTAACTCACTTATAAATGGTGCTTCCCTAAGGTTGGCACATGGATACTAAGTGGATTTAACTCCCTAGAGAAGAAAGCAAGGTTATTAAAGCCACAGGTTCAGGAGGTGGGTTCAAGAACCTTCCTTACCTAAGAAAGTCAACTGAAAGCAGTATAATAAATACTTATTGAACAAGTGTTATCTACTAGGCATTTTGGAAAACAGCAGCCTGTCCTCTCCCATTTTTCTGGTGGTCCTCAGGTATAGGCTCAGGGGATAGAGGTGGAGGCTTTTATGAGTTCCTTAGCAAAAATAATAGAGAGTGACTACCTGTTGGGTAATCCCAATGATGAAGCCTCAGTTTCTCCATCTGTAAATTTCTCCTCATTTGTTGGGCATGAAAGAAGAAAATGAATGTAAATCTCTTATTACATTGGGAGACTGACTATTGGAAGTCATCAAGCAAGGAATGTTGTTTTTTTATTTGCTGTAAAACTAATACAAGGTCACATTTTATTGATACTTTATCAGAGAAACAATATATAGCCATATATTATTTATGTAGAAATACTATATAATAGGATACTAAATTTCTATGAAAGAAGATCTAAAACTTTTAATTAATTCCAAACACCAAAACATACATTATTTTATTTTCTTCTCAAATTTCCATTCTAAATAATAATAATGATATGCCGAGTACAGTGGCACACACCTGTAATTCTAGCTGCTCAGGAGGCTGACGCAGGAGGATAGTAAGTTCAAGGCTAGCCATAGTAACTTATTGAGACCCTGTGTCAAAATACAACAAAAAGGGTTAGGAATGTAGCTCAGTGGTAAAGCACTCCTGGGTTTGATCCCCAGTACCACAAAATAATAATAAAGGTACAAAGAGATTATTAATTAACAGAACCTCACACTGTCCCAAACACTAAATCCTCCCACAACCCACGGAGGTAAATACTGAGATTAACCCATCTTACAGATGAGAAAATTCAGGTCAGAACAATTAATTAATATGATTAGATTCACACAACTTTTAAAAGTATTCCTTTCGTCTGCATTTCCCTTTATCTACCTCACCCTTCCCTTTCCATTCCCTTTACTGATTGGCAAGTCAAGGCCAATTACAACTTCAGCAAGCTGCCTCCCTTTTTCCCTTTCTACCTACCCACTGGCCCTCTTTCTATCAATATCTACACACAATGGAAGGCTGTTTGTAACCAACTAGAAAATTTCTCCAGATGTGTACAAATTTCTGCTCCTCCATCTCTTTTGGAGACTTGGCTTCTGTAAAGGGTAGCCCTTCCTAAGGCAAAGTCCTTGCAGAAGCAGCAAGGAGATGATAGTGGCATTCCATTGTTTTCAGGAGGCATGGGGAGGAAAAACAGAATTTACTACAGCAGCTGGGTGAGAGGAAATGGAATCACAGGACTGACAGAAATGGTGACTGCAGCTGCCAGTAGAACAGGCCAAAAAGTCACTGTGTACGATCTTTTCTGTGTTCCAACAATGAAGTAGACTCCCAGGCCAGTCAACATAGGGTAATGATGATAGGAACGGTGTTACCAGAGAGGTGACATCTGATGCATACAGAAACAGGTCCTGGGCCCCTTTTGGAGGGCAGGAAGGCAGCCAGTCACCTAGCAGAGTACTAACTGGGGAACCAGACAGTCACCTGCCCTGCTCAACCCCCACCCCCTTCCTCCCCAGGAAAAGGGAAGTCAAGTAGATAAGAAATGGGGAAGTCCTAACTGTTCCTACTGTGACATTTAAGTGTCTATATAATAATCAATGCTGATCCCCAGTGAGACCAAAGCCTCTACCATAAAAGTGAATAGCGCAGGATTTCTGAAACATTTCCTCAGGACACAGAAAAGGAGAAGAAATATTTTGCACACTGCTTTGAATCTCATAAATAATCACAAGGAGGCCTTTTCATAAGTAATGAGACTTTTTCATTTCACAAGCCATTTGCAGGCACAGGACATGGGATTTCTAACTAATTTTCAGGAGCAAGTGGGTCACTGCTACTCACAAAGACAGGTGCCATTTTGAAAGCTGTTCTTCTCTACCTAAATCTTCCATTTTCCAGATGCACTTCGGAAATGTCCAAGTGCTGAAAATGTCCCCTTCAAAACACAGAGTTCAACTTTTAATTTAACCTGAGGATATTAGAAATAATGGGACTGTAATCTTCAGAAATCAACACGGTCCTCCTTAGCAATCACTTTTATAATTTATGAAAATAAGGAACGAACAGGAAAGTAAAGAACTTCCTCATTGTCAGGCAGCAAGTCAATAGCAGAGCTTGAACTTGACTTATCTTTTTAAGGGGGAGGCATTGTACTCTATAAAATTTCAAATTACCTTGCTCCCAGCGTATACTATGGTTATTTGATTTGAGTGCTCACAAAAATCATAGCAATTAAAAATATGGATGCCACAGCGACGAAACTTAAAAAAAAATCCTTTAAGGCTTCTTCACTTTCCACCCAAGTCAAGGGAGAACACAGGCGAGGAAGACAAAGAGGACCGGGTGGGGACAAGGCCCTCCTGTGGTCTAAAAGCTGAGTCAGAGGATCGTACCCCTGCAGCGGGCGAGGTCCTTGTGTGAGGGTCACTGGCACCCTAGCTTAAGGATGTCTTGAAGCAAACAAAGCCAGTTTAACGGTAAAGGAATGCCTGTACCCCTAGGTACCAACAGGGTCCTTAGTTACCACGCGCTAGTCCGCTGTAGCCTTTAGGACCGTTGTTGAAAAAATTCATTATGATATAATGAAACTTAAGGGAGGAAAATAAATTATGAAAGAAGATTTGCAGGATGGGCATTTGCTCATTTTATTTTTCCGCTATCGTTGTATTAGGGTGCGCGGGTGAACATCGTGCGCGTGGGGTGGGGGAGGGTGGCAAACGCCCCACAGGCCTCCGGACGCCTTTCCGGAGACGCGGCGCGAAAGAGTTAAGCGGGCTCGTGGATGACATCACCTCATTTACATAGGAGCGCCAATATAGCGGCGTGCGCCGCGCCCCGCCCGACACTCGGCGGCGGTCACTTCGCAGACCAGACTTCTCTCGTTCAGGCGTCTTGCTCCGGTGAGCCCCCGGGCCCTTTTTTCCCTTTCTTGGTCCCTTGGGACCCTTCCAGCTGGGCGCCAGCACTCGACCCCTTCATCTACGACCCCTATTAAGGCGTTTCTAAATCCGAGTCCTGGGGAAGGTCGTTTTGGGGACCGTGGGGATGTTAAACCCTTCCAGATGCTAGATAATAGGAACGCGATCTTGACTTTTTTTTTTTTTTAACCCTCAAAATCCGGCGTCTTGCCGTGCAGGTTCAGGGGGAAATTTAATTTTTTCCCCCTTAAAGGCATTCTGTATTCTTTTGAGTTCAGAAACAGAACGATCCTTTGTTCTAACGCACGTTCTACCGAGCCTTGAGCTTCAACGATTCTGTATCCCCCTAGCCTCCGATGCCTTCTTGGGCTGTCCAGGTTTAGTGTGGGCTGGGCTGTATCGTCAAATTTTGAAAGTCCTTCTTACAGAGGAGTGTGAGCAAAGGATGCTTAGTTGTCCCTAATGCAGATCAGGATTGATTTATGGGGTGGTGAGGAGGCAGCTTTGTGAGCCGCTGGCTGCATTGTTGAGCGCGAGAGAGGAAGCGCGTAGGGCGGTGGTCAGACGCTCGCAGCTGCCGCCTTTGTGAGAGGGGAAAACTAGACCCCGTGCATCTTTTGGGAGAGATCACATCCAGAAAATGGAAACACATTTTTGCCACCTTGGCTCCATTTTCAGGATTTTTACTCGATTTTCCCCCATTTTAACTTGGAAGTGGCTTCGTTATTCTCTACTTGTTCAACGGGATTTTGATTTACCATTCCGCAATGATCAATTCCATTACTCGGAAAAATCCAGCCTTGAAGCCATCTTCCCCCACGTTTTGAAATATTGAGGGGGAGGTCTTTTTTTTTTTTTTGATCTTTTTTTCCCTGTAGAAAGAGGAATCCCTTTAGTCCTGAATGGACGAGGAAAGAGGGAGGGGGGGTTTCCAGGCTGCAACTTAGAGGGGAGAAGCGCATTGCTGAGCGGGTAGAGGCGAGGGTGGGTGGCTCCTTCTCAGTCTTCCTCTTGGCTTTGTACCTCCAGCTTCCTCCGAAACCATGTCTGACAAACCCGATATGGCTGAGATCGAGAAATTCGATAAGTCGAAATTGAAGAAGACAGAAACGCAAGAGAAAAATCCTCTGCCTTCAAAAGAAAGTAAGCTCGCACCCTCCGCCCATCTTCCGAAAAGGCTGGGCGGGAGCGGCGGGTAGGAGGATGGGAGGGGCTGTAAGGAGAAGGGGGGGGGAGTGCGGGGGTGGAGCCGACAGTTTGATGATAAATGTGGTTTGGAAAGGTTAATTAAAAATTGTTTATAGCCAGCAAACACAGGGCTTTAGTGATTTAATAATGGAATATTTAACCTGCCATATTAATATACAAATACATTTATTTATTAAAATGTACTTTGATTTGATATATTTAAAAGAAATATTTTATTTTATTATGGAATATTTACATACCACTTGTAGAATTTTTGTGAAATGCAAAAATGTTTTAAATGAAAGTATTGATTGTTATGGCGTCCTCTTAGCCTCCATCTTTTTTTCTCTTTTGTCTTTTTCCGGTCACAGCGATTGAACAGGAGAAGCAAGCAGGCGAATCGTAATGAGGCGTGCACCGCCAATATGCACTGTACATTCCACAAGCATTGCCTTCTTATTTTACTTCTTTTAGCTGTTTAACTTTGTAAGATGCAAAGAGGTTGGATCAAGTTTAAATGACTGTGCTGCCCCTTTTCACATCAAAAAATCAAGAACTACTGACAACGAAGGCCAGGCCTGCCTCTCCCATCTGCCTGTCTGGCTGGCAGAGAAAGAAAAGAACTTGCATGTTGGTGAAGGAAGATATTGGGTGGGAGGATGGTGAAATCTAGAGTAAGATCCAAGCTGTTTCAAGGTGTCCTGCAGGCTGTAAAATGCAGTTTAATCAGAGTGCCATTTTTTTGTTCAAATGATTTTAATTATTGGAATGCACAATTTTTTTAATATGCAAATAAAAAGTTTTAAAACCTGGCTTGTGTGACTTGTTTGGTGTCTGAAGGGAGCGGTTTGATACCTTAAGAAACCTTTGCAATGGGGAGCCTGCCTCTGAGAAGTGACAAATATCTGCGGATTTGGTAAATTCCCTCACAGCATAGAAATATGGCTTTCACCCAGGACCATGAAATGCCTTGTGTATACCAAGTAATGAAGAACATTTTCTTGGGCTGATTAAATTCCTAGTATGAGTTACATGAAAGCTTTAATAATAATTTATTTGCAAGCCAGACAAGGTAGTGTACTTATGTCCCTGCTACTCGGGAAGGTGAAGGAGGAAGATCACTTGAGCCCAGGAGTTTGAGGGCGTTCTTGGCAATATATATGCAGTTTGAAATATTTATGGGCTTCAATAAGCCAACCCTGAACTTATTCCCATGCTTGAGAAGATGGAAGGTGACAATTTATAGCACATCCTCAGGTATCAAAATGAACTTGGGTTATTTAACCAATTATTAGCACTGAGCAAATTCTATTTAAGCAATCAGGTAAAGAGACTAAAAAATGAATTTTAACAGCTGCTTTAAAAATAAATTTGGGACATGTGCTTCTTCATTACCTACTTTAGAATTAGAATCCAATATTTAAAGTTGCTTTTGTGAAGTAAATGCATTAACCATTAAGGACTTCCTCTTGGTTTGAGTAATGAATGTTTGAGTTTAAAGGACATAAGCAGGACACCCGTGACATTTGTGCTAACTTTAAAGTTCAGTGGGAATTGACTGATAGCCAGGTCTTGCCTTTTTGGAGATCTGAAGAATTTCTCAAACATCTGAAGTAGAGTATTTTAACTGGTGGGAAAAAGTGAAGACCTCATTTGCGCCATTTGCTCCAAGCCAAAACATACAAGAAGAAAATGAAGAATAAATTTTTTAGGGGTAAAAAATGTTCTTAAATCTCCTTAATGGGTTCCTGGGTTCTGTAAGGAAAGGTGCAGAGTTTTTAAAAGCAATTTTATTAAACCAAAACAACATTTAAGAATGATAGTAGGCAGGCACGGTGATGCATGCCTATGATGCCAACTTCTCCGGAGGCTGAGGCAGGAGGATCACAGGCTTGAGGGCAGCCTCAGGAACTTAGTGAGACCCTATCTCCAAAAAAAAAAAAAAAAAAAAAAAAAAAAAAAGGCTGGGAATAGAGCTCAGTAGTAAAGTGCCCCTGGGTTTGATCCCCAGTACAAAAAAAAAAAAAAAAAGTAGTTCACTCAATATCAGCAAAGCTAAAATGTACAATGCAAATGCAAAGGCAAACCTTTTCTCCCTAAAAGCTGACTTAGGAAAATACCCTTTGGAAGTGGGGAGGGTCAAATTCTTGATTATTATTAACTTGGTTGAAATTCATTTCCTTTGCTTAACACTTCTTTTGAGAAATGCACAGGAAACCATGTACCTGTGGTTTAGACAATCAAGTAGACCATCAGCTAGAAACCCTTATTTGCGTTGCAAGGGGGGGAATGTATCGCTGCTGCCAACCTGAAGGGCCCAGCCTGCTGAAGGGGAGAAAACGTGGGGAGGGAGATGAAGCTGGCCTTGTAAGCTTGCAGTTTCTTTTCTTACCTACAAGGCAGAATATAGGCCCAGTGAAAAATGCCCAAGCCACTGACAGACCCATAGAGGTTTTTGTTGCATGCATTTTTCAAACAGTGCAAAGATGAAAAAAGATTTTGAGAAATTAATACAATTCCAGTGTTCCTCAGTTTAAAAACATTCAGGGAAAGGGATGACTCAGGAGACCAAGTGATGAAAAGAGGACTTTTCTTTCCTGGGAGGACAAAACTAAAACAGCAAACAAAAAGTAAGATTAGAAATCCAGTAATGACTGAATGTTGGCTGCTTGGTGTGAGAGATCAGTGAAATTAAGCCTCCTCTGCCTATGTCATCGGCTGTTGGAGTTAACTGCTGTAGGGGGATATGAGAGCCTGTTTGTTGTTTTTTAATATGATGGGAGATTCTTTATTCTTCCCAAGGGAGAATCTTCCCAGAAGGGCTGGGGATATTTATGAATCAGTGTGGGAATTTATGCTCTTGCTAGTTGAAAACTAGGGGTTGACAGTATTTTTCACAGATACAAAGGGAATATTAAGTTTATCATTAGAATGAGAGAATCTTCCATTTGGAGACCCTCACTACTGCATCTTCCACCCTGGAGGAAACAGGCCAAAGGAACTTAAGTAAGAGCTGAAGGTCACACAGTTTTGTCTGAGACTTCTGCAAATTTCGAATTGATAAAGACAAAACAAGAGAAAATAACAAGAGGCTTACTAAAACCAGCTTTAGGACAGAACCGTCTTCATTTTTAAATCTCACAGATTCTCAAACCATTACAACAGTGAATTTCGGTCTTTCAGTGGCTGGAATCTTAAAGCTTTTTTATTCTTTCAGAACAACACAGCTTTTGGGCTGTGTGCAAGGATTCAGTGTGCATGGGGGCGGAGGGGGTGGTCGGCAGGCAGGCTTGAAAAGCCTTGCAAACATCAGGCTGCCTCTCAGCTCTTTCGGACCTCTTACATCCCTTATAATCAGTTAGGTATTGTCCCTTTAAGTGCATGAGGGAGATCTATTTAATTCCTCACAGAAGCATCTAATTCCTCAAAACACAAAAATATATATTTCTTAATTATTTCTAAATGTATGGGGCCAACTTTCATACTTACTAGGAAGAATTCTGCATTTGGAAGTCATATTTCAAGCAAAAATTAAAAATAAAAGACTTTGAGACTCTCTTAGTTCAAGAATGTAAACTCAAAACATTAATAAGGTTAAAGGCACTTAATGCTCCATTTACCTTGTAGCCTTCTCCAGCTTAGCAAGAAAATAAGAAAAATACCCTCCTCACCACTCCCCAAAATGCTCACTTTTTTTTTAGATTACATTTTTAAGAATGGCTTACAATGCAGTAAGAGAATTAAACACACCAATTTGGAATTCAACTATATTTTATTTGCATGTAACAAGAAAGGGCTAAATTATAAATTTAAGGCACAGATGTAGGAAGAAGTAAACTGAGAAGAAAACATGTTTCTAAAACCTGTACTTATTTGGTTTATATTTCCCTTGATATTTGTACAGTGTTTTAGATCTCTAGTCACATTGTCTTGCAAGTGCTATCCCTACTCTAAGCTTCTGAGGCTTTTGAGGGCACAGTTCGACAAACATGATGTATTGTTTCATGTCTAAAAGCGCCTCTCATAGTAATGGACACATATGATGGTTTTATACATACTTTTTGCCCTTTGACTGGTGGAGACTTCATTTAACATTCTTGTTTTGAGGTGCCTCTGAACATGTGACTATCATTCTATGCAGCACAATTTAAAATATATTTTTAAAAATAAAGAGCTTTGAACACTAACTCACCACTGTCCTCGGTTGTGCTGACTTTGAATCAATACTTAGAGCAAACTATGTATTCTCATATTATTAAGCCAGAGCACTGGATCATTAGTTTACTCTATCAATGCTTATTGATTGTCTAGTACATTCCAGGTATTTTATTTGCCACAGATAGATACTTACAAATAAGACACAGTCCCTGGCTCTTGTGTATCCTACATTAGTTAGAAAATGTCCTTTCCATCTGACTCCTTATTTTTGGAAGGGGTTACTGGGGATAGAACTCGTGGTGCTATACCACTGAGGGTCTACACCCCCAGCTCTTTTTATTTTTTATTTTGAGACAAAGTCTCACTAGGTTGGCCAAGCTGACTTTGAACTTGCAATCCTCCTGCCTCAGCTTCCAGTAGCTGGGATTACAGATGTGTGTCAGTGAGCCCTGCTTTCCATCTAACTCTAGCGTGGAAAATGCTAAGAAAATATTTCTTTGTGTGTTTAGGGTACATGATGAACCTAAAGGGGTTTGAATTTCTCAGAATTTTAAGATATTTTCTTTGCTTTAGTTTGGACATTTTTCCACATGGATCAATAATGATTACATTCAAATCCTCCCAAAGCTCAATAGTGAGTGACATGTAATGGAAACCAACTGATCCTTCACAATGAAATAAAATATTTAATCAGCATTCAAAGATTGGAAATGACTCTTGCCTGTTATCTTTTCGCAGTCCTTTCTGAGGAATGCCCAAGATCCTGGAATGAACTGGACTAATAGCCTTTGGAAAATCTATCATTTGTTAGGATTTTGTGATTTAGATGTTGAATTTCCAGGAAAAACACTTATTTCTCAATCTTCACCTTTCCCCTGTTCACCTTTTCTCTCCTGTTAGACCATAAGATTGTGGGGAGCAGAAATGGTTGCTCAATTTTGAAATTCCTCAGAGAACCTAGCAAAGTCAGGACCACATGAAGTTATACTTAAATATAGCACCTGCCTGGGTGAGGGTCACATTTGTTTATTAGGATTCAATGGCTTGATGTGTCAATGGAGAGGGACAAGCTATGTGTATGATCTATTCAAAGCAGTGGGAACTATTCCTGTCACATTACTGTCAAACCACAGGAAATTATGTTTTTCCCCATTACCACACTGAGCTCTGTAAGTGCCTGATTACCTTTGACTACACAGAGACTTCATGATAGTGTTTCTCTCAATTTAGAAACAAATATTTCACAGGAGATATATATATCTGTCTGTCTGATATGGGTGTGTGTGTGTGTGTGTGTGTGTGTGTGTGAGAGAGAGAGAGAGAGAGAGAGAGAGAGAGAGAGAGAGAGAGAGAGAGACCATGTGGTTGATTTTATTTAAAACAATGACTTGCAAGGGAAAGGAGAGATACTGAGGAATGATATTGACCAAATTATAATTATACTAAGTGCATGTATGAATATGTAACAATAAATCCCACCATTATGTACAACTGTAATGCACAATTTAAAAAAAACAATGACTTGCTTGGAGAGTGGAAAGAGTCATTCTTTACTTCTGAAATATTTATTGCAGACCTACTGCATGCCTGGCTCTTTCCTACTTGCTAGGGAAAGAAATAAGTCCTGGGTCTGACCTTAGTTCGATGTGAGAGG